ATATATTTATATAATATAAGCCATATAATTATATTATTTATATATATTAATATTAAGGATGTCAAACTGGCTCGTTATCGCGAATAACTCGTGTTCGGCTCATTCATTAAGAAACGAATACGAATAATTTTGAACACGAGCTTATGTCAAAAAAACTAAATTTCAAACGAATTGAACCCGAACATAAGTTATATTCATTCTTGTTCGGTTCGTTTACACCCCTACTGTGGAATTGTTTTTCATTAGTACATGCCTTCTAAATATTGTAAGGGAAAACATTTATTGATAAAAACAAAAAAAAAAAAGATTTGTACGGTGTAGATTAAAAGCCCGATCAAGATTTATTGCTACGGTGGAGATCGTATTTCCAATCAAGATGCGAAGATGATAAATTTGTACGGTGGAGATCACATTTCCAATAAATTGTACCTTGATAGCTTTGCAAGGCCATGACTTGCTAGAATAGGTTTTCTAACATTTAGCTAACTTAAATACTTGCTAGCATTGTTTTGCAAATTGTAGAATTTTATGTTTTTTGTTTGATTTAGATGCATTTGATTGTTTCAATATACGAATCTTATTTATACATGAAAACTATATTTAACATTTTTTATGTGATAGGAAAGATTTTGATGGTTGAAAAAATTAAATTTTACATGCCTTAAGTTTAGACAAATGATTACAAGTTTGTCCGAAATATAAAGTTTTATACAATATGTTGGTTTTCAAAATTTGTCTACTTAATTTAATTTGTCCTTCACAAGAAAAATTTGCGTACGTAAGATGTACGTAGCGCTGTGTACGTCAGAGAGATTATTCAGAGGGTATTGGGGGGTTATATCCACGTTATACCCCATGTAATCTCTCTGTAACATACCTATAACATACATGTAACATCCAAATATATGAAAACATAAGCACATAACTTATTAAAAGGTACAAGTAGACTACATGGAGGTTACAGGGGGTATAACGCGGATATAACCCCCCAATACCCACTGAATAACCTCCCTAACGTATGCAAATTTTTCTCGTCCTTCACACGCTTCTTCCACCAAATATCTCTTCAGAAATTAAGGTGTGTCGGATGGGCTTTTGTGTAAGTTGTTACAGCGGGCGCCCAATAATTTAATGTTAGCAACGAAATAATGGCTTCAGATTTTATGTTATTTTATTTTATTTGAAAAAATAAAATAAAATATGGATTTTAGAAGCATTTCTCAATTGAAATGCTCTGGAGGCCCATTTAGGTTTATCTAATGCTGACATATTCTTTTTTTTAGTTTATATAAGAGTGTGATGTTGAACCACTACACCTAAAATTATGCTCCTAATACATATATTATAAAACATGAACGCAAATTTAATAAATATATTTATATTGTGCATCAATTTTCTTTCTTGAAAGAAGGGTCATAAAGATTTTGTGTTGAGAGACACAAAATTCATCTTAATTTGTATTATTCTCTGGTTAAGATTGCTTTATTTAAACATGTATTTTAATGTGGTTGGAATGAAATTGTATAAATTGTTGAATTGAAATTGTTTATGAAAAATAGTCAACACTCTACTATGATTAATTACACTAAATGAGGGAACAAGAGAGAGGAGAAGATAATTTTTTATACACTTAGAAAATTTAAAAAAAAGGGGGGGATCAAATCCTTTTGAATTGAAAATGTCATGTTAGACTAAGTTAGGATAACACCTTGTTTTATGGGGAAAGAAATTTCATGAGATATTTCACCTTAGATTTTCTATTTTGCATGATCATGCTCAACCAATGACCCTTTAATTATATTTGTGGACTACAGTTAATGTGACATAGTTGAAACATTGATAAAATTATATAGAAAGAGTGAATTGAGCTGGAGTTTGACGATGTTGTAGACTAGTTTGTTTAATAAATCGAAAAAATTCTAAATGGATACTTGAGTTTTCCAGGTGAGAACTTCTTGAACCATGAGTTCTTGAGAAGAGTATCATCTAAAAACTTGAAATGTTTTTTGGGCAAGTATCATCAATGATTGGACAACTTCATAAGTCTCCTAGTTCAGTTAAACAACTTAGTACTATGGATTAAATTAGGACTAGCTCTTTAGACACTTATTTAAGATATAGTTATGATAGACTTGAGGCTTTTAAAAGTCTTGGTGAAGGGTAAGACCCAAATTACATTTGGCTTGGCATATTCAAAATGAGCAGCTTATTGAACTCAATTTTTGTAATCAATACAACTTGGTTAATCTTACTCAAGTGAATTTGGGTACAAATCAACTTTTTATATTCTTTTTTACGTTCATAGAAATCATGAAGTACATGAGAACAAAAGTTTTGAAAACTAAATAAGATATAGATGCCTTTAGTCACACACATAAATCATCTTAGAGAATTAATTTCGTGGAATGCATAAATTCTTGTCACATGTTGGTGCATCAAGACAAATATCTATAATTCGACGTTTGCACTCCTTTTATAACTTTAATTTTTTTTAATGTAGATTATTATGTTCTTGATCTTTGATTACTTTAGAACTCACTTTTTTCTAATGATGTAAATATGTTCAAGAGGGTCTCTAGCTTCATTGTTGTTGACGAAACATAAAAAATCTCAACATAGAAGTTTTAAGTAAGAAACTTGTATTTAGGAAATGTTAATCTTCATTGAAGAAATTGATTGTTAAGAAGAATGTGAAAAGGCAAGAGAATCTTGTCCCATACATAGAAAGTGTCTTAAAAAGTGGTTGTTAATGCTAACATAATTACTGATGATGGAGCTAACAAAGATGTTAAAAAGGATTCTTACATAAATATTAATAAAGTCATTATTCACTAAAAAATATAGGACATCTCAAAAAACCTAGATAACAAAGGCAACAATTTATTTGAAGCTCTCTACATGACAAGTGATGAGATTGTTTCAAGGAATAAAAATATTAGTTTAGTTTGCTTTTTTTTTGTGGAGTTAAGTATTGATTAAGTTGTGAGGTGCTTAGAAGAGCTTTAAAAAATTATGAGGGTTAGGAGAGATGTGAGGAAAGCCTTCTGCTATGTTGTGGAGAGTTCTTAAGTATGAAAGGCTTCTATTGAGTTAGGAAGAGTTCATAGGTACATAGGGGTGGATGAGAACTAGATTTGTTGTGAGATATGTACTTTCTGGCATAGAAATGAGACGAAAAAGAACACAAGCAAACACAGATCGTTTACGTGGTTCGATCCAACTGGATCTACGTCCACGGAAGGGAATCAATCAAATAGTTCACTAAGGCAAAAGAAATGGAGAATACATAGCTTATACATAGAGATGAGCCCTCATCTTCCTTCTATGACCTCCCTCTCAAGCGACACCTTGATACAAGGCCTCAAGATGCTCTCCTCCTCTCTAGCTCTCTAGCTATTCTCTCCTCCTTCGTGGTAGCTTAAGATCTCTTC